TAAATGACCTCAGATGAAAAAACTCTGAATACCAAGTTTGATCATCTTAGCAAGATCTACAATTGTTACATAGCTCAATTTCTCATTTGAGAAAGTTTTATCAAACACTAGTCATAAATTCTTGAATTTCATATAGACTTTCTAAAACTATGTCACACACTTGTGAAATTTGAACTACATTTAATTTAAACTTTCTCAAATAAAAAATGTCCTATATAAGGATTGTAGATCTTGATGAGCTGAACAAACTTGGTATTCAAAACTTTTCAATTTGAGACAATCTAGGGTTCCGCAAGTTCAACTAGTACGGATTTTCTATAATTTTCTAACTATTTTCTAAGTTTTCCATTTCATGGAAAATTTAATTCTAAAAAATAAAAGGCATGATTTCTAAGTATTTCATTTCATGGAAAAATAATTCTAAGTGACCCTTTCGATATCAATGAAGCTCATGAGCGTTTAGGTTGCCGAGGATAGTAACATTTGTAGATGACATTTGTAGGTCCGAAGTTATCAAATATCCATCAAATTATAACTCAAAAACATGTTTCAATAAATAACCATCCGTACTAGTTGACCTTGCTTACGTGATCATCTCGTGCGAGTAGTATTTCTCCACCGGACGGCACAGATTTTGGCCAAGGAAGAGAGCTTCGATTCTACGAGGAAGGGAACACGGTCTTCTACGACCGCTGCCGCTCTCCCTCGTAAAATCAAAGCTCCTCCTTGACGTCTGTTATCGCTTCGACAGAGAACATGCTCGCCGAAATGAACACGATGCAAGTTCAACTAGTACGGATTTTCTACAATTTTCTAACTATTTTCTAAGTTTTTCATTTCATGGAAAAATTAATTCTAAGATCACGTAAGCCGCCGGGGACGAGGATGGCACGTGCTCCAGCGAGGACGAGCGAGGCGTGATTTTGATGAACTAATTTAACTTTTGTTTATCCAAACATATATGCAAATCATCATGTGATTTTGAGCTAAAAATGACATATAAAATCATAATAAAATCCAACATATAAAGTTACACATGTATCTACATCATAAAATGAGATAAGCTACTGATAAAACATAAGAGGATTAAGTTTGTTAACTCCAAAATCGAAGAGCAACACCAATGGAAGGGGAGAGAGTAAGAACAACAAGCTGAAGAACAGAGGTATTGAGTTTGAATGGAATGGCTCGGGCTCGGAGGGGAAGAAATGAGTTAGTCTATAAACCGGGATAATTAGTCCCGGTTAGGGAGCCAAACCGGGACTAAAGATTAATCTTTATTCCCGGGGCATCACCTAAACCGGAACTAAAAGCTTTAGTCCCGACAACCTTTAGTCCCGGTTGGTAATACCAGCCGGGACTAAAGATCCTTGTCCCGCGGACGACCGTTGGGCAGGAACCTTTAGTCCCGGGAAAAAAAAATGGCGAGGCTAATGTTAAATTAAGACATTATTCTAAAGTCTGTTCTCTAGTAGTGGCAAAGCTTGGCAAAGCTTACGGCACTCGGTAAATTTTGCTTCTCCCGTAACGCCACCTCACCTCTGTGTACCGTCCATTGGCTTTTCTTCCTGGTTGGCCGAATGTTGCTGTATACAGATTGCAAAGTTTGCCTCTACGACATGGCTACAGCAAAGCTGACCACTGTGCGCCAGCTAGATCACATGAAATACCAGGGTCGTAGGGCACGGACATGGGAGAATTTCCTCTTCGCCTTCAATGTTCAGCTGTATTCAAAAAGTCTTATTCGGATCAGTGTGTAGCCTGCTGATGAAGCATGTGTGTTTCTGAGAGAGAGAGAAATCAGCTCTTTATTCTCCTTTTGTATGTTACGGCTACGTCCGAATGTCGCATGCTGTACCTTTTATTTCCCTTTGAACCATATATGTTATGAAGTGGTAGATTAATTTCTTTTCCAAATCATTTCTGAAGAATTTTCTTGAAAGTTATTGTTTCATTTCTGGAGTTTTGTTTAGATTAACTTGTTCGGGCTCACTGCTAAGGAGCTGTCTAATCAATTGATCACATCTTGGAACTTTCTTTGTTCAACATTGGTCTGCTCAAATCACTGGGAGCAGCAAAATTGTACCTCATACTGATGAAGTGGAGCATAAGGACAGTTCCATTCTACTTGCTGCGGCCTCCCATTTTTTCCCTGGTGAAGATTGTAGTGGTGTGGTGAAACGCTCGCGATTGGAGGTTCTACCCAGTTGGCCTGCAGCTAAAGAAACCGAATGAAGCTATGCGCATTGCGTTGCAAGCAGGAGGAACGGTGTCTCCCAGTTGGCCAGAATGCCAAATGCTAACTGGTGGAGATTTTGGTGGGTCAGGCATGTTGTTGCTTCTGGATGCATGCTGAACTCCGAACCATCTGGTGGAGTGGTTATTAGAGTACGTCTGGGTGGGTTGGTTTTACCATCCTCATGCCCTCTGCCAAATATCTTGCTTTGCTTTTACTCTGATCCCGTATTTGCAATGCCAAATAATCTTTGGTTACTCTCCTGGCATTTTTTTGTGTTGCTCAGCCAATGTAGATGTTGTGTGCAGTTTTTCCCCTCTGTTTATTTGTTGAGATCTCATACTGAGAACAATGATTTTGTGTAGTAATCAATGAGTTCGAAGAGTAGAGCAAGGAAAATTCAGTCTTTGGTTAAATGTGAAATTGGAGCTTCTTGGTCTAAGGTTATGCCAGCTTTCTTCATATCTAGATTGGACTTGGCATTATAGAGTCATGGATGGATTCCATTGAAGACTCGCGTTTCTTTGATGTTGCTACGACAGAAGTTCCACTAAAACCTGAAAATTTTCAATTTCATAATGCAGGCAACAAGAATTTGATGAGAAAAGCATCACGATATTTACTGATTGCACCAAGCACCAGGTTTGCAGCTCACTGCCTCATTTCCTGCTTACATTCATGGCCTTTTAGCATCTTCGTATTGCCAGGAAATGTAAAAATTGCATGTGGTGATCTACTATTTCTTAGACCTGATGGTTTGTTTTTGTTGTTCTCATGCGGTCCTGATGCAGTGCTACTAAGACAGGATTCAGATAAAGCTATGAAAAGACAGCACTGCTGAGCATTCCAGGTAGACAATTTTCACATCCCTCCAAGCTAGAGCTACCTAGAGGACATACGATGATTATGTAGGCACTCATGGTTCTGTTGCTGTACCCATGCACACATGTTCTCTAGATGTATATTTTGGTAGGTCAGACATTCGATCGGACTCCGGATGCAGTACTCAGCTGGTGGAAACTAAATTTACAGGTTGGAGTAGATGTTGGTAACTGTTGTTGTTGCTAAATGCTCATCACGTTTTCTTCGTGTCCTTGTGGACAGATTTCATTTGATGATATTTAACGCCTAGGCAGGGAGACCATTGGTTTACTAATTGAGCTTATCCCTGTAATCTACTTTAGCTTTGATACGGATCATGATTTCCTCGTGATATGATGCTTGTATGCATATGTTCCTCGGTTCTTCCTGCTATGGACAGAAACCATGTGTCCTGTCTTTTATGGTTGTTTATTGCTTTTGTATCTGCCAAGCAAGCAAAGGCAGCCCGAGGGCGTCAGTGCCAGGCGTAAGCTCTTGATGAGTTTTAACTACGACAACAGCTGATTAGCAATTTATTCTATTGTCTTTCTGTGATAAATTCCAGCAGATGTCGTCTCAGTTCTATGCAGCATGGGAGCTGAGGAGCAAAATTTCTGTGAAGTGAAAGATGAAGAGGATGGAGACAAGTGGTCGACGTCGTCGGGGTTGCTGCTGCTTCCTTACCCAAGAGCCGTTGGAATGAGGTGGCTTGGGAATTGGAGGTCTCAGTCTCAGGCAAATATGCCACTAAGTCCCTTCACAGATACTTGACTTTTAAGGTTCAGATCAGATCTTTCTATGGATGGTCTACCACGACAGAATTCAGTGTGGTGTACTGCTGAAAAGGAGGAATTGGTCTGCTGCTGTTCTGTGTAAAACTTGTGGGCAAGGTGAGACAACTAATCAGATTATGTTCCAATGCCCCAGTTGCTTTCTTTCTTTGGACTTACTTTCGTTCTATGCTGGGGTGGTCTCTATCCCCCACGGAGAGGTTGTTTGTTGAGGTGTTGGACCATCTGAAGGGAAAATTGATGAGTATATATCATTTTAAGACTAGGAACAATGTGTTCTTCGAATCAACAACAAAATTATGGCGTCTCCTATGGACTAAAAAAAACTCGGCCTACGGTGGACAGACAGCCCCCACAGTTTTTGCGCTACGAAAAAGACCTTTCACGCAGGCCGAGAAAACCCTCGAACCTCATGCCCCGCCCTCACACAGGGGCCTGTAACCCTATGAGTGGGTCGAAACCTTTTTTACCTATGCTTTGGGGGATTGCGGGGAGAAAGAGAGGATTTTTTCTACACATAACCTACAAGATTATCAGCATTTGTCACTCATAAACTTGCTCAGATATCGATCGTGGATTATATTTGGAGCAAGATTTTTCTCTCACACCAAACCACCAAAGAAGAATAATCCACGATCGTTTACTTATTTAAACGAACACTTTGTGTGTGCGCTGCATGCAGCCGGAGTCGAACTCCCAGACCAGGGCCTTCCCACGACAGGAACGGAACTATTCGAGCTAACGCTATGGACTATGCTGGTACTTCACAAGACTGTCATGCTTATCAAGACATGGAAGCCACTTCTGAAACTGAAATCTACAGACAGTTGCATGCAGCTCCATGGATTTTCCGTTGAGCTCTCAACGTCCGTCTCTATTTGATCGGATACTCCATTTCATTTCAACGCAGCCAGGACGGCACCCCATCCACAGGCGCGGACACGTCAGCGCGGCCATGCCACGTCGCCAAAAAAGAGAGCTCGACAGGGCCACGGCCCAAGCCCAACTGGCGGCCAGGCCTGGCCCTGGCCGCACACTCTCCTCTCCTCTCTATCCTTTTCCTCTCCCCTGCTCTCCGTCTCCCTCCCCTTCCCTTCGCTTCGCTCTTCGCCATGGCCATGGCGACCTCCACCTTCTCCCCGCGCCCCGCCACCCTCAACAAGCCCCTGCGGGCGGGCATCCAGCTCCACCTCATCCCCTTCCCGCACCTCCGCGCCGGCCGCCTCGTCTGCGCCACCGCCGCCGGGGAGGCGCCGCCCGTCGAGGTCGAGCAGCGGGACGAGGCGGAGCCGGCCCCCGCCGCGGCCTCCAACGGGGCCGCCGTCAAGGCCGAGGCGCCCGCCGCGAAAACCGAGCCCCCGCCGGCGCCCGCGCCGGTCCCGGCCTTCCGCGACGACAGGTGGGTCAACGGCACCTGGGACCTCACCAAGTTCGACAAGGGCGGCGTCGTCGACTGGGACGCCGTCATCGACGCCGGTGAGGACTCTGACAGTCTGACTCCTCCTTCCTAGTATCTCTCTCTGCCATCTTGCTAGTGTGAGCGAGCGAAAAGGTTGCCAGTGTGAGCGAGCGAAAAGGTTGCTAAGCATGCACCGAACCGAAGTCATGGAGAGTATGCGCCGATATTACAGCTTGATGTGGAACCCTGGATTGGATTCACATGTTGGAGCGGGAATTGCTGCCTGTCTGCCATTGCAATTCTAGCCTGTAGGTTGTGGCGAGCTCGTTCTGTGCTTCATGAGTAACCATCACAAGTGTGCTCTAGTGTCTTTAGTTTGCTGAATGCTTAGCGTCAGGCAAGGAAAGGGCTAGATAGATGGTTAAGCTATGGTGTGCAGGGGTATGGTTTGCCATCCCTGTGGACGTAATGTGCATAAAGCTTGCACCCTTTCACAGCCCGGTGTGCTCGAATAAATGGCATACGCATACTCGCTGATTGAACAAGGCACGGCTGCAGTATCTGTCTGAACTTCTGTTTTTCTTGTGGTTGTAGAGTTGAAAGATTTTAGGGTTGGATCTGATTTTTCCTTGTAGTTGTAGAATAGCGACTTAGCAGCAGCTGATGGTCGAAGACGAATTTCCAGTCTAAAGAGATGTTAGTTGGTTAGGAACTAGGGAAGCGAGGGGAGGAAGATGCATCAGTCCCACTTGAGTCTCAGCTGGTCTTGAATTGATTTAGCACACATTTTCTGAACTGGGGAGGCATGCTTTTCATAACTTGTGTTGTGTCCCTGCGATTCTGCTATAGCTCACGTGAACTGACTAGGAAAAGAATCATGCATATGCAGGACATGCTTGTGTAAACTCAAACATTTGTTGGCTTGCTACACTGAGTGGGGCAAGCAAGCATGGCTAGTTTACGTGTTTTACGCATCTTCCTAGGGAATGCCACAGCCAACTGACAGTCATCTTTTGTTTGATTCCAGAGGCAAGGAGGAGGAAATGGCTTGAAGATTATCCAGAGGCGACTAACACAGATGAGGCTGTCGTCTTCGACACTTCAATTATTCCATGGTGGGCATGGATGAAGCGATTCCACCTTCCTGAAGCCGAGAAGCTAAATGGTTATCACCAAGCCCTTTTCTTTTGTCATTTAAACTACTGAATATGATAAATTGCTTTGAAAAACAGTTGAATATGATGTGTTCTGTTTCACTTCAAAACTGCGCAGCATTTTGTGTCCAGGGATTGTGCATTCAGAACCAATTCTTCTCATCTAATGCAGGTCGCGCCGCCATGGTTGGCTTCTTCATGGCATACTTTGTGGATAGCTTGACGGGCGTGGGCCTTGTCGACCAAATGGGCAACTTCTTCTGCAAAACGCTGCTGTTTGTTGCTGTCGCTGGTGTATTGCTAATCAGGAAAAATGAGGACATCGAATCACTGAAGAAGCTTATCGATGAGACTACGTTCTATGACAAGCAATGGCAGGCAACCTGGCAAGATGATTCCACTGCGGGGCCAAAGAATTAGTTCAGGTTCAGCGTTGGGATACAAATGCAGAATGGTTCTTGTCATGTATTTTGTTTCCTTTGTCGGCCTTTTTGTTTCCCCGTCTAGTGAGGTTTGGAGGAACATTGACAAACGTAATAATCTACGTCATCTTGTAAAATAGTATGGACTCACTTTCTGTGCTGGAGATAATTACGTGCAGTTTTAATGGTTTATATGGTTTGCCATCTCAGAGCATTTCTCATCCAAGCAGTAAGGGCAACCATGCCATGATATTTTCATCAGTGGCATGTTCTCATTTTTTTACAACAATTCATAACAGAAGATCACTGTCACCAGGTTTGCAAATTTCTACTCGCCACAAGAACTATGTTCAAAAGCAATAGTGTTTGCCCTAAACTCGTTTCCTTAACAAAAATTGTCACAGCCTAATCTACACTGCTTATCGCCTTTGGTTAAATCACCATCCCTTCGGATATACATGGGTAAACTGGTGCATGGTCCGTCCTGGGCAATTCACAGATATTCTGATATCAGACATGGAATTCATTTACATATCGATCAAAGAAATGTCATGTACACATGTCGAGGTGCTCATCAAAGATTAGTCTGAAACAAAGCAAAGATTAATCTGAAACAAACCTGTGAGACAGAGAGAGAGAAGCATGTCTGTTGGTGGTTAACTTTTCTGACTACTTGCTTTGATCTGGCATGGAATTCAAATCAGGCATGACACGACTGAATTCTGACCTGCAGCCAGAGCAAACAAATTAAATTCAATGTCCAGATTTATGGTACCAGAGGAAAACAATAACTTAGCAAGTATCTTAATACAATCATTTTGCAAGCAGCAAGATAAATCACTAGTATAAAGACAAATGCTAACAGCTACCAAAAACTAAATTAGATGTACAAACTGCTGGGCAAGACATACTTTTGTGGTACTGCTAAAAAAAAGACATACTTTTGTGGTAGGCTTATATAAACTGCAAAGCCAACTAAACCTTGAGATGATTTCAATTTTGCATAAGGTTGGTTGAAATTAGAGCAAAAAATGGAAGTGCATGTCAAAGTAAAACTATTCAGGAAGGAACGCAAAATTAAGAGTAACTGATTGCTTCTTGCATAACCAAATTTGATGCTGGCTAAAAAGAAATTACAGAAACAAAGAATTGAATGGAGAGAGGGTAATAAGGTGGTTGTAGCAAAGAAACCAATAATTTCTAATTAATAAAACTGTGGACTTGCGTCTAGAAACAAGAACAGAACATAAATTTGTTATCATCAAAAGGTACCCAAAAAAGGGTCTCATCAGAGGAACACACTTGAAAATAAAACTTACCCGCAGGTTGAACACTTCTTCTGATTCTTGCAGAATATTGACAAACAAATTGAACAAACGTATCCCATGTCGATAGTCTTCTTATGGCAGAAACACCTGCAAAATCAGTAAAAAAATATTGAGTGCATTGAGGTGTCACCAATATTAGATGAATGCAATCTTTTTTGTAAAGAAATAAAACGGAACCAGATTTGTTAATGTGGACCAGCTTTTGCCCTGATTGTAAATTTTCACAAAAGGAGGATAGTAGGTCTAGTATTGATGCTTAATCAAGGAAATTTAGAAGCACATACGAAGCACGAAAGTCCACTCCAAGAGTTTTTGGAAGGCGCAGAAATGCTCTAGAGTGTAAATCAGTTGCAAATACAGCCTGCATTATTGTTGAAATGTGTCAATGAGCTTAAGCAACTACAAGAGAAATAAGACCACACAAAGTTATTTACACAAACAAAGGAAGAGGATATTAAATAATATGATATATAAATAACAAATTCTCTAGTAGACAGGTATTGCCAGACTAAAGTGAAGACATCTGCACAAGTAGATCCCAGTTCTGTCTATCAGACATGGCTAATCTCTTACTTAGATATATTATAAGTAAAATCCAAAATTTTGTGAGGAAGGTATCATCAGATAGATGTTCGCAGCACCTAATGTGAAACAACAAAAAACAAACAGAGATCTGAACACAAAGCATACAGAAGTGACCAATAAACTTTTACAGCTCTTAATGCCAATTCAGTAATTCACAGTTAAGGAAAGTACAAAAGACTTCCCTAATTTACTAACTATAATAGCAAACCAACTACATGAGGAAAAATGAATGCAAAGGATTTTTCAACTGGTATGATAACAAAAATGGTAGTAATGTCATCACCCTTTTAGAGGGTAGTAGATTCAGCATAGTGTGCTTGATGTTCCTAGGCTAATCCGTTTTCGCTATTATGTGAAACTATAGAGCACAATACAACCATAAAAGGATTATTCTGTCAAAAGGATCATAACGACAAGTATATAAATACATTCTCAAGAGGCCCCCAAAGGAAAATAGGACTATATGAGAAGATATATTAATATCAGCAGTGGGAGGCTGGATAACTTACGGCAAGGTATTGAAACAGACCATTTAGTTCTTGGGGCTTCAAATAAACTCCTCCTGTTATGTACGAAGCCTATGTGATGAAACACCAGTATCTAGTCAGCAAGAGGATGTTGTGACAGTATAACATGTGGATGAATTTGATCAGTAGAATTCAAGAGCGTACTAAACAGCATTACCTGCTGCAAGAAAGCAGAATCTTGGGTTCCCACAATACAAGAATCAATTGGTACCTAAGAGATTTGTAAAATGTTACGGTCATTATGCCACCCTAGTAATTAAAAGCTTTGGAACAATTATGGATGCATATCTATATAGGCACATTTCAATGTCTTGCTACTTCTCAATCCACTACATGTGCCACACTTGGATAGTAAGTAATAAGTAACAACATAGCGACTGGCCGGTGAAATTGAAGGGTCAATAAATCTCAATGGGACTATAATGGATTAACAAACTGATGCAATACCATGGAACGTTGAGCAGAAAATATTGAATTCATCACTGCCACATATCTGCAAGTTCATTTGATCAAGTGAAAACTAGGTCCTGAAAAAATTTAGAAATTGCATTGATGAAGGTGTACGCATACTGTTCAGGTCCATCTGGAGAGCCCTGCAGGCACAAAATCTGTATCTCATGTTAGTATCAACTGCCGTGGCATTATAATAAGAATACTGACTACAACAATTTATGGGCGAATCAAAGCATTATTTGTTGATCACAAATGATGAAAACCAAACGTTACTCAGAATCCTACATGACAGCATGTAGCCACTCACCCGAGGTTGCGGATGCCGAGTCCCAGACCGGAAAATCCTCTGTATATCTAAATACCCTCCATGTTAAGCAACAAAAGCACAAAATAAGATAGGGCAAATGCACAAGAAGCAAGGAATTCAAACGATTGGATACAGCACAAAGCGAGGGACAGCGCCCCAGAGAGCAGCGACGTGGCATTGGCAGAAGCAACAGAACCGTTGCCCGCAGTGGCACGGGCGTCTTGTGCAATGAACTCCTCTGCCTTGCGGCTTGCCCTGTCGAAGGTGTCCGAGACGCCCACGCCACCGGAGGGGCTGGCATCACTGGAATCCAGGATGTAGGCACAGGAGCTGACTCCCGCGGCGATGACGACCACACGGTTGAGGTGGTTCAGCAGCAGGATCGAGTTGACGAAGTGAATCAGCTGCACAGACATGGATATTACATACATCAAGTCCAAGGGGGAAAGGCCGGAAAGCCAAAGCCCAATCAACGGATCAGGGCACAGCTAGCAACGAGTCATCTAATAATGCACAAAATTATCATTTGAATATCGAGCAAGGAGGCATGCAAAAAGGGAAGCAAAGGGAAGGTTAGGGTTGCATACGTGCGCGAAGAAGTCGGCGAAGGGGAGCGCGGCGGCGGCCCAGAAGAAGGGGTTCGTGTCGACGACCACCACGACGAGGCTGACGTCATCTGCACGCGCCGGCGAGTGGTGCCAGATAGGATGAGCGTGTGTGCGTTAGAACGAGGAGGCGTCGCGGAGTACGGGGGATGCGAGAGTAGCGGGCGGCTCACCGGAGTAGAGCTTGGAGTGAGCGGAGGTCATGGCCGGCGAGGGGGGTCGCTGCTGCTCGCGGCCCGGCGGCGGTGGGTCGCGCGCCCAGCCAATCCAATGCTCCGAGGCGCCGGCGGGAGTGCTGGGGCGGCGGCGCTGGCGCAGCCGGTGGCAGTTGCCGCGGTTGGGGACTGGGGAGTGCTCGACTGCTCGTGCTCCAGAAGCTGTGGTCTCCTGGACTATACATGGGCCTGGCCCAATCTTGTGTACTTGGGCATAACAGTTTTGGGCCTGAACTAAGCCCGTGCTTCCTTTTAAAATTGGAATGTAACAGCTGGTTGTCTTTTGGTGGCTGTTTGAATTTTTAAACTTTCTTTTTACCGAACTTGTGTTCCAAACTTGGTTCTGTTGATTCAAAAAAAAAAAAACTGGTTCTGTTCATTTTAAAAATGAAATCCTTATGGTTTCCCATTTTCTCATTCTACTAGTAAAGCATTAGCACTACATGCAGTGATGCACGTTCGACTTTGATGTAAAATCTGAAGTCTGAACCCCCGAAAAATCACTAAATCAGAGAACTTTTACAGCAAACGGTTTCAGTTCAACGGAGGATCCATCCAGATTTCAAACAGATTTTGGGCGTTGCAGATCGACGATATCCATGGCCATTCCAGCTTGCTGACCTGACTACAACCAAAAAAATCACTCGAAGGAGTCCGAGGACATCATCTGGCCCTCGTCGCTCCCGCCTCGGCGCGCCGACATGGGCGACTTGAGGAAGCTGGGCGTGCCGGGCCTGGACGACGCCGGCGCCGCCTTCCTGGCGCTGCCACCGCCGGCGTTTCCCCCCATGGACAGCGTCCTGGTGACGTTCTTGATGTTCTTGGGCGGCGGTCGGGCCACCGGCGACGACACGTCCCGGTCCGGCAGCGCCACGCCGGCCGCGGCCGCGCCCTGCACCTGCTGCAGCAGCCGCCGCTGGTCCCGCTGCCGCTTCCGCTCCTGCTCCTTCTCCTTCCTCGTGTTGCCGTAGTCCTCCAGCATGTCCAGCAGCACCTCCTGCATGCGCGCATCAACGTTGTTAATTAATTGCATTGAGGTGCAGTGCGGCCGTCGCCATGGCCCGTAGGTGATGGAGGTTTTTGCAAGGCAGGCGTACACCGTCGTACTCGAACTTGGCGCCTCTCTCCTTCTCCCACGCAACCACCTTCGCCATCAGAGCTTCCGCCATTGCTGCACCTCACACGTCAGTTCCTTATCAGAAGGATTATTATGTATGTTCAGATTCAGAAACGCCATGGCTGAAGCAGAACAAAGGCTATGTTACCCGGCATTTTGCTGACCAAGGAGCGGGCTTTCTCGGCGCGTTTGAGAACGAGATGCGTCCCTTTGCCGACGTTGTATCTGTTCTCGTTCTGCAAGAACGAAAGCAAGGAAAAGCTTAGTGATTCCTGGAGATGGAGATGATCAGACGGGGAATTGTTCAGAGAGTCTGACGACGACCGAGACGCACTCTGCTGTACTCCTCGAGCCAGGACTCCTCCTCCAGCGCCGCCTGCCACCTGTCCATCTTCTCCAGCACGTCCTTCCGGCTGAACTCCAGGTCCTTGGCCTCCGAGATCTGCACCTCCAGCCGCTCCAGGATCACAGCCCGTTCGGCATCTGCAGTAGTCGATCGCAGTCAGTCGTATTATACACGCATGCATTTCTCAAGCAAGAACAAAAGTTCAGGCGTGCTGACAATTGACATATACCGCTGTCGATGGCGTCCAGCACCATGACGGCAGCGTCGTCGTCCTCCGGGAGGCGCGCGCGGCGGCGGATCTCCATGAGCTCCTCGTGCTTCTTCACGACCAGGTCTTTCATCCGGCACTCCTTGAGGGTCTCCAGCCTCACCACCTCCGCCTCCACGTTGCGTATGAAGGCCATGGAGAGGGCGCCGGGCTCCGTGATCTCGTCCTCGGACGCGGCGATGTTGCAGGCCACGCCCTGGAACCGCCGCTGCTCCTCCGCCGGCGTGTCCATCAGGTTCCACAGCTCCAGCATGCTGCCCAGCAGGTCTTGCAGCTGCCATGCATGCCATTGCATTGCCAAAGGAAACAGGTTGTTTCATTCAGTTGGAGAAGGCTCACGAATCTCCATTCAACGGCGGCGAGGGCTACCGTACCTTCTCCATCCGACTCCGTTTGATCTCTCTCAGCCTCTCGATGCCCGCAGCCAGCCCCGCGATGGCGCCGTCGCTGATGTCGCCGGCCTGCACCTGCACGCCGCCGCCATTGACGACATTGTTTGTCTCTCTGGGATCCATGCCGAGAACCAAGGATGACGAGTGCAGCAGAGCCAGGAGCTCCGCCACCTTCTTGGTGCGACTTTCCTGCGTGTACATGTGTCAAGATCTCGATCCAAAGCAAGAACAAACGCTAAGCATGCATGCAATGCACCCGTCAGGAGTCGATCAGGACCGATCAGTTTCTTTAATTAGGGTGATCTGACCTTTTCCTGCTGCAGGTGGTGCAGGTAGGCTCTGAGCTCGTCGAGCTTGGTCGTCGTCAGGTCGGAGCCGTCGACGACGGCGGCGGCATGAGCCTTCGGCTGGCCCTGGCCGCCGCCTAGCTGAAGGTTCATCTCCTCCTGGATCCTGTTGACCCGCTGGGTGACATCCGCGAACTGGCGCCGCCTCTCCTCCCTCCGCCGCCGCATCTCCGCCAGCTCCGGCGCGATAAAGCCCAGCTCCTCCTTCAGGCTCCCTGTGCCCTGGTCCCAATCCTCCGTCACGACCGACATCACCATTGCCCATCGGCCGGACTGTGCGCGCGTACCTGGAGCGAGGAGCAGGCCGTGTGCACGGTGGAGGGCGGCTCGCCGATGGTGGCGCAGATGGCGGCGACCTCGGCGACGGAGTTGGCGATCTCCCGCTTGAGCTGCGCTCGGTGCTGCCGGACCTGATCCACCTTGGTGCGGTACACGTTGAGGCAATCCTCCTCCAGCGCCTGCAGCGTCCCCCGCCGGTCCTCCTCCGCTTCCCCGATCTCGTCCCACATGTCCTGCGTGCGTGCATCCATGAGAGGACAGGACTCAGGAGGAGGTCGAACGAACGGAGACGACGACGGACGAATGGACGGACGGACCCCTAGCTCATGCAGCAGCTCCTCGCGCCGGGGCTCCATCTGGAAGGGGAACAGGATGGCCCTCAGCTTCAGGGAGAGCATTGGGCTCCGTCGTCGCACGCTCCTCGCCCCATGCTAGCTTCCCCTTCTAGCTCCCTCCTCTCCTCCGGCGGCTCCGATCTGATCGATCAGCTCGAGGACAACGTACGTAACGCGCGCGGCAATGGCGGCAGATCTGGCCGACGGGATAATTAATGCTACCTGAACAACAACAACAACAACAACTGCAACTAACAACGACGCCACGGCGGCCGACGAGGTTGACGGCGTGGACGGTGGATCATGGCCGGCCGGCGCAGACGACGACGGCTGCGATTATTGCACGGGGGATTGTTCCGCCCGCAGATCGGACAGAGTGCGCGCGCGCGGAAAGGGAGGAAATTGAGGGAGAAAGTATCGCTAAATAAAAGATTGTTCATGCATGTATGTATGCAGGGAGAGAAAGCTGCGTGCGTGTCTTAATTGTGTGAGGCCACGAGCAATGGTGGCCCAAAATAGGATCACGACGAGTCGGGAAGAATGATGTGCATGAGCATGAATCTCACGTACAGGCCTAATAGGATAGCATGCAGTATATTCTCTAATAAATCCTAATGGAAGGAAAGTTGAGTTCATTCATTCACCCTTATTTTGTAAGCTTCGTTCTTGTGGTCTACGCAATGGCCAATCCATGAGTATTAGTTACTAAATCCAAATCCCAAGACACACTGTTCTCTGCACTATCCATCGAACTCGATTTTGGTTGCCACACAGCCCGTAGTGAGGTTGTTTTAGATGTTGTTTTGTACCCGTGCAACAAGCACGGATATTTATCTAGTTATATAATTAATATAATTCCTACGCGCGATCGATAATTCTAATATTTTTTTATATATGCAATCAACATGTAAATGACGCGTGGGCCCAAAAATCATCTCTCTCAAGTCTCCACCGCACGCATCGAGTCGTCGTCCCTTTCTAAACACGCTCAAGTTAGCCGCCGCTGTGCTGACGAGGCACACACATGTTGTATTGGAAAATCCATGCAATCAGCAATAATGGTCATCAGGGATAAGTAGTTTCTTTGTCGTCGTGGCACCGCTGTCTCTCAGTCTCCGACCCGGGCCGCGCGCGCCAGCGTCGCGCGTCGTCGTCGTCGGACGGCCGGACGGCGGGCGCGTGCGTGTGCCTCGATTTCTCGACGCGGTGTTGGACTCGAGTCGCCGTCCGCTGGCTAGCTAGCAGCGATCAAGGAGCTCATGAGCTGAGATGATGCAGACGGCGACAGGCAAGCTCGAGATTATCGGCGACGTGACGTCGACGGTGATGACGAGAAGCTTCGTCGCAGCCAGCAGGTACGGACGCTGCATGCCGCATGCACTGCTGGTCAAATAAACCACAGCTAGCCCGATCGATCGATCGACCAACAGAGCTGGATCGATCGAACGAGCGCGACGTCGTCGTCGTCGTTGAATTCAAACTACTGCTAGCTAGCACGGCGCGCGCGAGAGAGAGTACGTACGTGTACACACACGCGGTAGCTGGACTTATCTATCTACATATATACACGCGTGTACACGCGTATATGACGCTTATATTATATATTGCTGAAATGCATGCTGACCTATCTATGTACACGCACTCTCGCTACCTATATCTAGTCTAGCTATATCTCATATATATTACGCCAAATTATATAGCTCTCGCCATTTTTCAGATTTTATTAAACTTCTGCTGCTAGCGTACGTGGTCAGCTTTTTATGCATGTCACGTACAGGCCGGGCACACGATTTAATCAGGTTCAGCCTAACCAATTTCCAGTCGTCTTAAAAATCACTTACTGTACTTATTATCTCTCTGTCGTGTGCCTAAATAAACCTACTATATATAGTCCCTCCAGTTGTCCATATTTGGTGTTTCTTTAGTTTATTTCATTATTTGATCGTTCTTTTTTAAAAGAAAAAAAAACTGTAAACAGATGCTAATAAATATCTCGCATAAAAAGATAAAAACAATGTCTATGTTTGTCAAGAGCAAAAAAAAAAAATCCATAGTCTGTCAAATTTATTACTAGGCAAATACATTTTTAATAGAAAAATGAGATAACATTTCCTAGAGTCTTTCTAAACTTATATTCTCTAAATCATCATTTCCAGAGTCATTTGATTAAAATCGCTTTCTATATCGTTGTATTATCCAACAACTTTTCTACATCTTTAGCTAGCGAGAAAATTTAGAATAGATAATGTCTATATTTAGAGATCCAATTAATAAAGAGGTTGTTGGAGGGTTCTTTTTACTAAAATCTCTATCTCTATAAATTAGGAATAATATAAAGAGTGTTTTGAAGTTAATCTAAGCACCTTAACTTTCTTTTTTAGAAAGTAGTTAAAACGCAACACCTAGCATGTAGCGTGCCTGATTTATGAGCCGGTCATAAGGTACGTAATGCTACTGGTGTGATGCATTTGGCCAGTGACGAAGCCAGAAAAAAATTTAGGAGGGGCTGAATAAAATAATAGAGACTTTTTTTATCTTCTCTTAACCTTAGCATCTCCTACCTAATACATATATACATAAAATTTCAAGAGAGGACTTAGGGGGGCTCCACGTGCCCAGGATCAGTAGGGGGGCTAGCCCCACCGCTGCCTCCGTCGCTGCATTTGGCAACTCAGATGTCATCATTTCTAACTTCATGGATGTATATCTGGAGAAAAAAAAAGAACATTGTCAATATATACCTAACTTTTAATTTGTCATTGGTCGGCATCAATACTACTACTACAGTAATGGTGCCGTCATAATCAGCCTGTTCGCTTGTTGGTTTCAGCCAGCCCAAACCAGCCAACCAACAGTGTTTTCCTCTCACAAAAAACCAGCACCAGCCAGCCCAAACCAGCACCAGCACCAACCAGCGAACAGGCCCAATATATCAAAGCAAAAATGAATTAATGGGAAATCTATCACCAACATAATGTGTGTACAGGTGGGTCCCTGTTCTGATAAGAAAAAGAAAGACTTGATAAAGGTGGGGCTGCCTGTATAGTATAGGAGTGTGGGCCACAGATGTAGTATAGCTTAGGACGGAAGACAGGAACCCTACATACACCTTCAGTCAAAAATACGTCTTACATGATTTTCAGACATGTTTACTTGTTATTTTGGGATACTCAACATAATTTTAATTTCTGTGGTTTAAAAGATCAAACTTTGTAAATTTTGGCAAACAATTGATAAAATTAATGTATATCTTAAAGTTTCACTAGTAGATTTGTATTTTCAAACTTCTTTTAATATGATATTACTTAACAGTTGACAATATATTCTAGCAGAAATTAATGGTCAAACAAAGGTTTATTTTTGAAGATTTTTATTCTGAAATACGTCCTACATAAATAAAAGGAATGTTTTAGAAAATAATGAAACAAGTGCCATATCTATTGACCTTTGTCATATGACAGGTTAATATAGTTTTGTCAATGTCAATCCATAAAATTCTGGCAGTAAGTTGGATTCTGGCTTAGCCGCCGAAAAAGGGTTGAACTCTATGATGGCAACATAGAATAATTAATTATGGCTATTATATTTAGCCTAATGGTTGTGCTAGAACACACCATTGAACTACTACTAATATAACCACTGAGATGGTGCATTAGTACTAACCACCAGGCTATTAGACTGTCTCCAACAAGGAACCCATATGGGCACTCAAACCTAAAATGGGTAGCAAGAGACCTAAAATCAGTCTCCAACAGAGTACCTATACAGAAGACCCATTTTGGGTTGCCTGAGAGGCATAATCCAAATATGAGCATCCTCGGTATTGAACATTGCCTGTAGCACTACCCAGAGGACGAATATGTCTTATATTTTGAGTGTTGTTGTTGGAGATAGCATTAGGCTGGAAGAATGTGTGTATAGGATAATACTGTGAGGATACTTATTTCCAGGGAGGACGCCAGTGGGAAGCATGGAAAGGGGACCATCAAGAAGAAAGAAAGCAAGGCGTAATTATACATAATTGATTGTTTGTTGACCTGACCCGGTCATGAAAAAAAAAATACTTTTCACGGTCTCTTAAGAGAGAGAGCTCACTTTTGGGCATCATGGGCAACACCCTTCCGCCGGGCCCCATAGCAGCTACGTGCCTACTTCCCAGTGCCCCACTGCTCTGGAGTAGGACGAGACCCCCTTTTTGAGACACTATGTTGGGTTTCCAAATAAATAAATAAAAACAATTCGCTGTTTTCTTGAATTGTAAAAAGAAGAAGAAATATGGCTAAGGTGGCATCCTGTTACTCTCTCAAGATTCCAGTGATAAACATGTGTGATGTTTTAATTGGGGCTTGTCTTAATTAACTAGTCATTCCAAAAACTCTGATGATAAAATATTCCTTAGGTATCAAAGTTGAATGTTTGGAAGTGACATGAGTAGAGAATATGAATATCCAGTGCTCCCTCTCATGAACAAAAAAAAAACTTCTATAAAGTGCATAAAGAGTCCAAAAAACAACTTTGTTCCTTGTTGGTTTCAAACAAACCCCAAACCAACCCAAACCAATGTGTTTTTTCTCTCTCAAAAAACCAAAGACCAAACAAATTTAAACCAGCACCAAAGACCAACCAAATGAACAGGCCCAAAATGGATAGATCATGCGATCATCTATGTTAGTGCAGAATTTGAGCTTAAACAAAAAGTTTTTGCAAGGAGAAAAAGAAAAGACAACTCAACATGTTAATTGATGCAGGTTGTGGATCACACGTGAATAGTTGCACCAGCACCAATTGACATTCTAATTTCTCTTTTTTGTTTCTCCTTGTACACATTTTTGTCAAAGCTCAATGTTTGTATGAACATAAATGATTGATGCTCTATTCATCCATATATTTGTTGGATTTTTTTTTTCCAGATGCATATCTCACTCACTCACCTAAATGTGTGGGAGCACCGGATATTCTCTCAAGTAGATTTATCTTGAAAGATACTTTCATAAAAGTACTATAAATGTGCTACATTTTAAAGATATACTCTCTATTACAAATTGCAAGTTATTCTAACTTTTCTAAATATATAACTTTTATTACGTACTTAGATGCAAAAGTAAAAGTTAAGTACCGACCTAAAAAATCATAATGACTTACAATTTAAAAATAAAAAGAGTACTATATACTAAAAAATAATAGTCAAAGTTCAAAATAGTAGACTTTATACGATCTTAACACATTACATATACTACTTATCTGTGAATGGAGAAAGTATTAGAGTTGGAGGTATAAATAAGACGGGCAATATTGTAATTCAAAGCCTTGGTGACAATTCATGAAGCTGAGGCCTGAGGGTAACCATGATAGGACAACGACATTCTGCATGTGTGGAAAGTTTGAAAAAAAGGTACAAATGTTATCACAGGGACGAGGTCTTGACCAAGACTGCTTCCAAGGAGGAATATAATCCAGGTGCAAGGAAGGAGGCCCGGGACCGGCCGGGAGTCACAACAAGCTACAGTGAGTCAGTGACTGATGACTAAGTATAAGATCGATGGCAATAACATGGCGAAATAAAATCAGGCTATTAATTTGGTTAGCTAAGTCGGCAGTCATCACGCGCATCTTGTGTGTAGCTAACTAAAAGGAGGTGACAGTGGAGCTAGAGTTGACCAAGATAGCGCTGTCATGCAGACAGGTTGTGGAGTAGTATTCGTGTATGTGAGGCTTCTTGTTAGGGAAACTAGGAGTCTAGGAGGTTGCTGTTAAGGGCAGCAGTTAGATAAGGATACCGGTGCCTCTGCAGGTCACTATGCACAGACCGCTGCGAGAACACTACTTTTGGTGACATGGAACTAGATGCACAAGTGGAGGTCGGGGCAGCACGTCTACGTGTTGCACTCGGGAGGCCCTAAGGAGCCAACTTACGCCAACGAATGCAACTAGCTTGGTTCTTAAGGCCATGTTTGGTTGTCGCAGTGGGTGAGAAATCTCGCTATTAAGAAACTATAGCTGTATAACTCAACAACGCACAAAACCACCACTTATAAAATTAGCAAAGAAGAGTTCTAGAGCAATGTTTCTATCAAAACTCCCAAATGACAACGGTTTTTCGCATTACTGTGCCATGGTTTCCGAAATTAGATTATTGTCTTTCGGAAATCAACTACATTTTCTCTAAAATTATGGTACCTTCTAAGATCTCAAAATACTTTATCTCCAAACTAGCCTAAATATCATTATCATAGACACCTAGAAGAGAAATTATAGACGCCCCTCTATCCCAAAAAAGTTATAAGAGAATAATATTATGTCAATCCATATAAAATTTAATTAAGTGTATATAAAAAGATACACATATGGCAAATGTAAATAAACAAGATTAGAGAGGTGTGTGAAGGAGTGACTGGTGAGAGCCGAGAGGTGTTTGACAATTGGCAGTTTGACCGCTTGACCAGCGGCATCGTCTCGTGACTCTGTCGTCGTCTGCGTGTGTGTGGCTTCTCTTCCCCTCCCTTCGTCTCGTCTCGTCTCCTCCCCTCACCTTCCTCTCCACCTTCCTCCCCTCCGCGCCCCGCCCCACCGCGCCAACCAACCAACACGGCGTCCCAACCTGCCGCCTATATACCTCCTCCCCCCGCGCCCCCACACGCACACATCCATATGCTCAGCTCCCCCATCCCCATCCCCGGACCCCGGACCCCGGCCACCCATGGGCGCCTGCTTCTCCTCCGCCTCCGCTGCCCCGCCGGCGCCGCCGACGAGCGCCGCCCGTCCAAGAAGGACGACGGCAAGAGGAGGCGTCGCGCCGCCGGAACCTCGCCGGAAGGCGCGGCGGCGGCCCCCGTGCGGGTGGAATTCGGCTACGAGAGGGACTTCGAGGCGCGCTACGAGGTCGGTCGCCTGCTCGGCCACGGCCAGTTCGGCTACACCTTCGCCGCCACCGACCGCGGCTCCGGGGACCGCGTCGCCGTCAAGCGCATCGACAAGGCCAAGGTGAGCTGCCGCCTGCCGCTGCCGCCCCCAAGTCGCCGCGCTGTCTCTGTCTCTCCTAGGAGTAGCAGTCTAGAGGTGGCGATTCCGAGCGTGCCTTTGGTCCATCGAACCACTGTGCTCTGTGCCTCCTTGCGCTGGGTGCATTTCGAGAGGGATTTCGTGCAATTTATCCGAGGAAATTAGGGATTTTTCTTTTGTTGCTTTCTGAGGTTTAGGTTCTTTCAGTTGGGATGCGATTGGTGCCGGATGTTTTCGGTAGCTTTGGCAGGCGTCTAGCTCAACGAGTAGGTAATTGCTCTCATTTCCAGCTGTTTTACCGCTTCATTTCTTCCAAGCTTTTGCCGTTGGTTGCTGGTGGTTCTGAGCTGCGGGATTTGAGGTGGTTTTGACATTCGGGCATCTCGGATGGCCTCTTAGTTTGGCACTACAGCTTTGTTATTTTCGGAACGAGGTGTTGCTCTCCAGCTCAGTACGCCACCTCATTCATGGAAATGGCAAAATCACTCATTTGTAGAACGGGAAAGGTGTTTTTCCTCCGGATATTCATGGAAACGCTTTGTTCAGTTGTCCTACTAATTTTGATAAGACGGTGCTGGGTTTACTACGATACTCCTTAATGTTTCTTATTTGGAACTAAGATTGATTTATGCAGCACACAATTCATATGGAGCTGTGGTTTTTGTGTAATTGCTTCTGTTGTCTACTTGTCTTTGCTTCATTTCTTGAACCTTTGTTTTTTTTTCCAAGGGGGGGAGTGCGAGGAGACAATTTCAATTTCAATGTTTACAGACGCGTCCAAATAGGTTATTTATTTATTTAGGATCATTAAGATTGTCTCCTTGCATGGTTGCGGCTTGGAAGGTTCCTGTCGAAGAAAAAGTCAGGAAAGCTAACCATTGCCCACTTGCAGTGGACAACACTTCCATGTCTTCCATACTATAGGTGGACAGCATTTTCCTAGGTATTATTAATTTGACCTTGAAACACATATATACTAATCAACATGGTTTTGATTTCATCAAATGTTTTGGACTTTCTGTTGAACTGTCAAAGTTACTTTATTAGTCTTTTGGAAATTTGAACCTCTGGAATAAAATGTCAAATTTTGTGGAACCTTCGATAGTATCTTTTGGAAAATTAGTGTTAGTGTCATTGGAAATATCGTTCATGGTGTCTGTGACAGAATGTGTTACTAGAAAGCTGAATAGGTGACGTCCTTGTCAAAAAGGCACTAAATGCGAGTCTGGAAATTAGGCCCTGCTATTGGTAAGGGAAGGAGTCTGAGCATCAGTGCTGATAGGAATGTAGACTCTGGTGATATTGTTGACTATTAAGTTTTCTACTTTTGAGACAGATAAGTAGGATCCCTCTTTTGATCATTATTTATAACATAGCCTTATATACCTCAAGGCTTGCATTGATAGGTTAATCTAGTATGCCTCCTGGAGATCATGACCTCAAGTTGCACACGGCTGTCAATAATATCGTCACCAAATGGTCATTAGTATTTGTGGAATATGCCGAAAGTAACCAATGTGCCATCAATGAATTTGCATAATTAGTGATTATAATCTGTTTGGATTAATTTACATCAGAATACAATGAGATGGTAAGGTAAGGAATCAAAACAGAGTATAAACATGTGTGATTTGACAAATCATAACCCCGCCCAGGTGTTTTGTCATTCTAGCTTTATTTGTCCAAGTAGGCAGTTGAAGCATTAGATGATTGCCATGTACTGTTATGCCTTATTGCCTTCACATATTTTCTACTCCACATCATCTTTAGAAGTTAGAACATGTGATTTATGGCAATTAAGATTATAATTTTATATAACAGATGACCCGTCCTGTTGCTGCGGAGGATGTGAAAAGAGAAGTGAAGATTCTTAAAGCACTTAAAGGACATCAGAATATTGTTCACTTCTACAACGCATTTGAGGATGTTTCATACGTGTATATTGTGATGGAGTAAGTAGGCCCATACCTACTGCTGATAGAGCATATCAATTTTGCTATGACTTTTTTTCTTCTAAAGTTTTAACTTTTAACGCCAATAGTATTTATCTTGTTTCCAGAATCCTAGACACTAAAATGTCATTCCTAAATATAAATCATTCTATAGCTATACCAGATGCATTCTTGATTCATTTTTCATAACATATGGATATATGGGACTGTTCTTTCAAATCTGCATTTTGAATTTGAATTCAGGGAACTATAACACTAATTCAGAACTCTATCATGTTTAACACTTTCCTTGCATTGTTCTATGTGTGTCAACTTGATGCACTTCTTAGATAATATAACATCATCTTCCACAGTCACCACTCACCATTAGTCAGGACCTAGGATCTTCCTGGTTCCAAAATGTAGCTAAGAATGTCATACATGATCATGTGATTTCAGATAGATGTTCATATATGCCAGTACCAAATCTTAAGTCTTACCTTCTGTTTTTGCAGGCTATGTGAGGGTGGTGAACTATTGGACCGGATTTTGGCGAAGTAAGTAGACAAGATCTCCATCTCTTTGTTTCCTGTACCTCAGTCTTTGTCATTGAATTTCTAGATTTTTGTGCTGTAAAATCAGATTGTTTTATTTTGTTTGTGTGCTTTATTTGATTTCTAGTTGCTCCTTCAAGGTCCTTTACTTAATGTTGTGTTCGTTTGGACAGAAAGAATAGCCGTTATAGTGAGAAAGATGCTGCAGTGGTAGTCCGCCAAATGCTCAAAGTAGCTGCTGAGTGTCATCTGCGTGGGTTAGTTCACCGAGATATGAAGCCTGAGGTAGAAATCAAATACTTTCAATCTCTTTGCACACAGTAAGCATTTGGTGATATTTCACTACTTCCTCAGGTCATGTAAGACTGTACCTATTTTCCTTCCCAGAACTTCCTTTTGAAATCAAATAAGGAGGACTCACCACTAAAGGCAACAGATTTTGGTTTGTCAGATTTCATTAAGCCAGGTAGCTACTTGGGGCCATATGAATCTGTCTGGAACCTGATAGGGCAAGTCTGCAGTTTAGCTGACTATTTTGTTGTCTAATGCATGCTTTAGGAAAGAAGTTCCATGACATTGTTGGAAGTGCTTACTATGTCGCACCAGAAGTACTAAAACGACGGTCTGGTCCTGAGTCAGATGTTTGGAGCATAGGAGTTATAACCTACATTTTGCTCTGTGGGAGGCGGCCTTTTTGGGATAAAACTGAAGACGGTATATTCAAGGAGGTAAGTGGATGGCTTTTGCATAACATGTGCTTACATGTAAAATATGCTTGGTTAGACTGTGAGTGTCGTACCAGGGACCAGCGTTTTCAGTGTTCTGATACGGTTTTCTACAATTTGTTTCTACATCATATAGCAGTGTTACCTTGTTAACTATTTCAGTGTCAAACTATTTGTCAGTGTCAGCACTCAGCAATATGAAGGGTGGGCCTGGTGCAAGCGGTAGAGTCTTACCGCCTGTGACCGGAAGGTCCTGGGTTCGAGTCGCGGTCTCCTCGCATTGCACAGGCGAGGGTAAGGCTTGCCACTAACACCCTTCCCCAGACCCCGCACAGCAATATAATTTTACTATTTTGAACACTGTAAACATATTTGGCCAGGTTATCCTTCAGTGGTTTCTGTACTAGCTACCAGAAACCCACTTTATTCTGGTGTTCAGTTTAATAACACCCACCATCTTTCAGATTTGTAATGTTCAGTGTTACACAAACTTCATTAAGATGCACCTTAAGATGATTATAATAAGTAGTAAAACTGCCTTGCACTTCTAGTTAACTTGAAGTCTGAAGATGACTTGTGGTACCTATGGCCTCAAGAAACCAAGGCATTGCCATTGGCATAGCTAATTTGAATGCTTGAATGAGCTTCAGATATGGCTATCTGTCTTAGTTTTGGACATCTGATTCAACTTTACAGGATATTTGCCTTTGAGATCATTGTCTCAGCCAAAATATGTTGCGGTCTCTTTTTTTACTGTCTTAACGTCTAATACTCTACCTGTAAAAGCTGCTAAGCAATATGGTTTCCATTTTCATTATTACCTTCACCTTTTTCTTGCTATTTAAATATCTTTATGCATTTTAATCAGCAAGGACATGATGCCATGGTATATGTGATATTCTACATCTTTTCACTTCTCATAAATAGGTTCTAAGGAACAAGCCTGATTTTCGTAAGAGGCCTTGGTCAAGCATCAGTCCATGTGCTAAAGATTTTGTTAAAAGGTTACTAGTGAAGAACCCAAGGGCAAGGCTAACAGCTGCTCAAGCTCTCTGTAAGTTTTGGTATACTTATTATTAATTTACTAGCCAAGGCATGATGCTCAGATTCACCTCCTTTTCTATGCGAGAACTGAGAACACATATACATCTTGCAGTATGCCTTTCAAGTTTCAATCAGTTATAACAATGTGAATATGAAAAGACCGATGATTTTCTATCCTGCACCATTTTAGAACATTAAATCTGATTTGAGAAGTCACATGAAATAAGCATATACCACTGAGGTTTGCTAGTTCTCATATGTTCTTATGATGAACTATTAAGTCATTGGAGGTTTGCTGCCCACCACCCCTATGTTTGTATTGTGAATGACTACCATCTTTACTGATCCTGATTGTTCTTGATATGTTCAGCTCATCCGTGGGTAAGAGAAGGAGGAGAAGCATCCGATATCCCTGTTGACATATCTGTGTTATCAAACATGCGTCAGTTTGTCAAGTACAGCCGTTTTAAGCAATTCGCACTTCGGGTAATTATAGTGATTACAAAAAATAATTTTAACACTACATTTATTTTTCCTTACAATATTTCTTTGTGGCATGGTCAGGCTTTGGCGAGTACACTTAATGAGGAAGAGCTAGCAGATTTGAAGGATCAGTTTGATGCAATTGATATTGATAAAAGTGGATCAATTAGTATCGAGGAAATGCGCCATGTAGGTTTTGTTAGTATTTGTTGATGAAAATGCCTTAGATCCTGAATTACTTTGAGGTGCTGATGATCTGTGCATGTTTCAATAGGCCCTTGCAAAGGATCTTCCCTGGAGATTGAAGGGTCCCCGTGTGCTCGAGATTATTCAAGCAGTAAGTTTGGGCTGGATCCATTTTTTTTGTTACCCCCTTTGTTTCCAAGCAAATAGCTGGCCTTGTTTTGAGGATATAACCAAAACTGTGATCTTATTTTGTGGTAGATTGACAGCAACACCGATGGGCTTGTGGACTTCAAAGAGTTCGTTGCAGCAACTCTCCATATACACCAGATGGCGGAGCTTGACACTGAAAGATGGGGTATACGCTGCCAAGCTGCTTTCAGTAAATTTGATCTGGATGGTGATGGATATATCACACCGGAGGAACTTAGAATGGTAATTTTCTATTCCTATTTTGTTTTCATGTTGCTTCATCAATGAATGCAACAGTCCTTATCATCACTGCTCCTATGAATAACTAGCTGGCCTGACTATCATGAGATGCTGTAGTTGCGTATTGCGCGTTTGGTTTAGTTCCACTTGCTAATTTTCTGTTTTCAGTGAATGAAGTAATTTAACAATGGAGCGCTGTAATATTTTAATCAAGAAAAAAGTAATTTATCAATGGAAGCGCTGTAATAATTTATCAATCGATCTGCACGCACCAGGGATGGACACATATCATTCCTATACCATCTTACTTCTGTGACAATTTCAGCATTTAGATTTGACAAAGATAAAAACATGTTAGGGTTTCTACCGAGAAAACCACCTATACAAATATTGAGAATTGCACCGTAGAAACCCGAATCGGCAGTATTCTCATTGAGATTTTCTTTCAAGATGCAGCACACTGGCTTAAAGGGATCTATTGAGCCGCTGCTGGAGGAGGCCGACATCGATAAAGATGGGAAAATAAGCCTGTCCGAATTCCGCAAGCTCCTACGAACTGCAAGCATGAGCAACGTTCCCAGCCCAAGGGGGGTTCCAAATCCTCAAGCTCTGTGAATTGCGGCTCAGCCATTACATTAGGGAGGAGCAAATTTAGGAAGATACCAGTCATGTGTTCTTTTTAGGTTTCTTTAGCGTGCCATGTGATGTTTCTGATTTTAGCATCCAGGTTATGTGTGCAGCAATGAGTAAGTTTCAAGTAAATATTTAGTGTTTTTTTACGGAAAAGTATGAGAGGTGGAGGTCAAAATGGTAAACAAGACTCGCCTTCTTCTTTCCTGTACACTGTACAGTATTACTAAATACGTATGATTTTATTATACTGTTGGTCGCAATAAAGTTGGCTGAAGCAGTGAGGATATGCTGGTTTGTGACAAACTTGCAACATAATCTGAAATGGTGTGATTTCAAACTGTTAAATGAAATCCTATTTATAAATTAGTATGATCTGTACATTAACTGTTGGTTTATGACAAACTTACAACACATCTTTTTAGGAGCCTCATTTGGAACACGGAAGCTTTTCAAGATTCTTGTGTTCCAAATTGTTGCCAAATTCTTTTTTTTTTGGCAGGTTAGAACAAAATCTAGTAATGCATCCGCAGTTGTATTTCCCCTTTTCCTGAGAATTCGTACAAAATCCTGGTGAATTTATGCGTTTTCAAACAGATCACAACACAGTTTCAGCATAAAAAGTTATGACAGATTTCATCTGCAATTTCATTGCTCGTTGCTGCCATTAGCAAATGTGCTGGAGTACTAGGATAGCACTATAGTATAGCAGACTGGCAGTTCGAAAAAGCGCGCGCGGGCTTCTCCTTGGCAGGCTGGATGCCGCCGCCGCCGCCGCGGTTGGCGCGAAACCCCGCCGCCGTCCTCCACGCGGCGCTCCTCAGGGCCTCCTCCTCCTCTGCCGCCTGCCGCCTGCCTCCCCGCATCTCCTTCAACTCCCTGCTCGCGGCCGCCGCGTCCTCCCCGGACACGCGCCTCCGCGCGCTCGCGCTCCCGGCCCTCGCGCTCGCCCACGCCTCCGGCCGCGTGCCCCTCGACTCGTACGCCCTCTGCTCCGCGCTCCGCTCCACGCCCACCGCCGCGGAGACGCTCCACGCGCTCGCGGCCAAGTCCGGCTGGCTCGGCAGCGTCTTCGTGTCATGCGCGCTCGCCGCGTCCTACGGCGGGTCCGGCCGGTACCTGGACGCCCGGAGGCTGTTCGACGAAAGTCCCGCCAAGAACGGCGTCTTCGGGAACGCCGTTCTCGCTGCTTACGTGGGCGCGGCCAAGTGGGCGCCCGTGCTGGGGTTCGCGAGGAGGTTCTCAGAGCTACGGCTGCAGGTCGACGGGTACACGATGACGGCTGTTGTGCGGGCATGCGGTGAGGTGGCAAACGCTGATCTTGGCGTCGAGGCACACGGGCATGCGATCAGGAGGTTGGGAGGTATAGAGGTGGACGTGTTCTTGGTCAGCGCGTTTGTGGACATGTATGCCAAGTGCGGGCTTATCAGCCAAGCAGAGCTTGTGTTTGGCCTTGCACAGCAGGAGAGTCGTGGCAGAGGTGACGTTGTGCTGTGGACGGCCATGTTGAATGCCTATGCACGGCATGGACAGTGCAAGGAGGTTATCCGGATGTATGACCTGATGGTGGCTTCTGGTGTCTATCCGGATGAATTGGCCATGTTAGCTGTGCTCTCAGCTTGCCAGCACGCTGGGGAGGTGGTCAAGGGGCTCAACTACTTTGAATCCATGCACACAGATTATGGGTTGGTGCCCACACCAGAGCACTACGGTTGTGTGGTCAACATGCTGTGCCGGGCAGGGGAAGTGACCAAGGCGTGGGAAATTGCCACCAAGGATGGCTGTGATCATGCAATTGGCGTGTCAACATGGGGGGTACTGCTCAGTGCTTGCCAGGCGTGTTTAAATGTTGAGGTCGGGAGAATGGCAGCTCAGAAGGCAATCGAATTGGACCCTACCAATGTTGGGATTTACATTGAGCTGTCAAATTTGTATGCAAGGGCTTGCTTGTGGGACGATATTGGCCAGCTGCGGGAGGTGATGATGGAGAAAGGGTTGGAAAAGGATGTTGGATGTACTTGGGTTGAGCTTGGTTCATGAAAGAACTTGAAAATGCTTCATGTTGATGTATGATCCAACCATTATGATTGGAGTTGTGGGAGGCTATTTCATGTTTGGATAACCTGCCACATCCATAGAAACCAACCTTTTCTGGGACAAAAATTGGAAGCACAATCTTTCTTTGCAGTCGAAATTAAGATAGCCATGGAGGAATTGTAAGTGAGATCAACAGTTGCCACATTTTCTTCATGTCTGAGGTAAATTGAGATGTATCATTGACTCACTGTGCAACAATGCACTTACAATCATAACAAGTTGCCAACTGCATTGTTTCGTGTAAATAAGATACCATCATTGCACTGTGACAAGTAGACATAATGCTATGCATTTTGATTTTTGACGCATTGCCGTGATTTTTTTCTGATTGGAACATGATGCCCTGGTCTGATAGTTTTATATTTGTAATAAAGTGAATCTAAGGTTAGCATGGTTGCTGCTATGTGTGCTCATACTGGAACATGTTTGTTCCTAATCTGTGTGCTCCTACCTGCAATTTTTATCTTTGAAGTGGCTCTTACATTCCATAGATTAGTCCCACCACATCAAAACTGAAAAACTGGTGATTGCTACAGTAACCAAAACCTTTTCTTTTAAATGCATTCAAATTGTACTGAATCACCAAGACGAAACTAGTACCAAAAGTTGGCCACCTAGCCTGAATGATTAAAATGAATTACTATTTGTTATGACGGGCGTGCACTATGGCCGAAGAAGGCCGGCTCGTGGCTAGGGCCGCGTCCGGGATGGGCCTAAAGCCCGCACCGTCGCATAGTATTAGCTATTATTAGAATTATTGGAATTACTAGAATTTATTTCCTATTATTAGATGAGAGGAGTTATAAATACCTTGTAAGACTATTTTGAGAATTAAGCAGAAACATACCTAATTGTTTCCGGCTTCCCCTGGGAGCCGGGAGTCTTGCCCTAGCTCTTCCTTGCGCCCTCGCTGCAGCCACGGCGCCGCCGCGCCGTCTTCCGTGTGTGCTCCGACCTCGACCTCCGATCTCCCACACATACAACCTCCGATCCTTCTCAAGCAGGACTAGAGTTCCTAGTAGCTTGGTATCAGAGATTCCAGGCACGATGACCTCCGCTCCGCTCAGCCACGTTGCTCCACCGCCGCTGTCATCCATGCCGCTGCCCACGGCGACTTCAGAGCTCTCCGTCGCGTCCGCGTCCAACTCGCCGGGCGGCTCGCTCACCCAGGGTTCGATCACCCTGGAAACCCTGGCTGGCGTGGTCGATCAGATCGGCCGCAACATGGACCAGCTTGGCCGCAACATGGTCGCCATGCAGGCGTCCTTGGCCAGCCTCTTGCCGCCACCTCCGTCATCACAGCCGCCGCCTCCGCCACTGCCGATGCCAGACGCGCCTCCGGTGTCGCACCAGATACGCTTCTCATACGGCATGCCCCATAGCGGGTCGGGGGTGCCTCTCCATCTGCTTCAGTGGCCACCCTCCCCGTCCCCCATACCGTCGTGGGCGATGTTGGGGTCCACTTCGCCGCCGGTTTACACGATGGCTACCTCTCCTACGCCGTCCGCGGTGACCACCTCCGTCGTTCCTCCAGCCCCAACATCCGGCACGGTCTACATCGGCATAGATGGGTCGGCCGCACCGGCGGCCCTCGGGACTGATCACGCAGCACACATGGGGTGTCCAGCGCCACCGCGTTTCTACAAGCTCGAGTTCGCCACCTACGACGGCGGAGTGGATCCGCTGAATTGGCTCAACCAGTGCGAGCAATTCTTCCGCGGCCAGCGCACTCTCGCCTCGAATCGCACATGGTTGGCGTCTTACCATCTACGCGGCGCCGCACAGACGTGGTACTACGCCCTCGAACAAGATGAAGGCATGCCGGCCTGGGAGCGTTTCCGCGAGCTGTGCCAGCTTCGTTTCGGACCCCCGACGCAGGGCACCCGGTTGGCGGAGCTTGCTCGGCTTCCCTTCCTCTCCACGGTCCAAGACTACTCGGAGCGTTACAACGCCGTCCTATGCCATGAGTGCGACCTCAACCCTCGTCAAAAGGCGCAGCTCTACGTCGGCGGTCTTCCTGAACATATAAAGGTGGATGTCGAGATGCAGCATCCGCAGGACCTACAATCCGCCATGTACTACGCACGAGCTTACGAACGTCGCGCGGCGGCCTTCCTGCCTGCACAACAGCAGCAGCAGCGCGGCGTTCGCCCACCGGCGTGCCCCGGCCTTCCACCAGCTCCACGGACGGCTGCAGCTCCATCTTCGGGGACTGTAACACAGCCGTTTCCGACGCCAAATACCGGCCAGCCGCGCTTCTGCCGCTTGTCCCCAGCGGAACAACTTGAACGACGTCGTCAAGGCCTCTGCTTCAACTGTGACGAACCCTACGTCCGCGGTCATGTATGTCAGCGCCTGTTCTACTTGGAGAACGACGACTACGTTGACGCCGAGATTCCTGCCGAGGTTGCAGCCGCGGCCGCGTTCCAGGGGCCGTCTGAGGCCACCCCTCCAGTCCTGGATCCCACGGGGGACACGTCGGCCACCACCGGAGCGCCACCCACAGTGTCCCTGTACGCGCTCGCTGGGGTGCGCCCAAAGAACGCCATGCTCCTGCCCGTGACAGTGCGGGGCCACCATCTGGTGGCTCTCCTTGACTCCGGCTCGACGACCAACTTCATCAATGCCGATCTCTTCAGTCGGCTGCAGCTGTCCTCCGTGCCGCATCCCAAGCTACGGGTGCTCGTGGCCAACGGCGACCGCGTGCCGTGCAACGGATTCGCCCGTGACGTCGCCTTGACCATCAACTGTTTCGGCATCAGTCTCGGCGAGTTCGACCTCATCCTCGGCTTCGACTTCCTGCGAGCCCTCGGTCCCGTGCTGTGGGACTGCGAGAGCCTCTCCATGGCTTTCACGCGCGATGGCCGCGCGTCTTGTGGACGGGGCTA